GATCCCTAAGCAGGGCTGCTCCTGTCTGGTGAGTACTTGCCTGTTGGTTTCTGGGATCCCTAAGCAGGGCTGCTCCTGTCTGGTGAGTACTTGCCGGTTGGTTTCTGGGATGATAGAATCTATGTTTACAGGGCAAGTGTTGTCTGCTTCCTTCCCAGTGTTACCATCACCATTGCCTTTCTCTCCTTCCCCTTTAGGAAATCCTGATTCAGCAACCTTTGTGCTCTTCTAACATTTACCACATGCTCAACAAATATGTACGGATTAGATCAAGTTGACAAAGACCTTGTCTCCAGGAAAATTTACATGCTAGGTGCCATATGCATATAATGCTGCAAAATAATACTGAACGAGCCAAGGGACATGGAAAAGGTCAAACGGACTGCCTCACAAGAGCTTGTTCCAGCACTTTCAAACCCAGATAATGCAATGATTGGTCTTTCAGGTAATAAAATACAGAAATAACTCTTGTAACACCACTCTTCCTACACTACCCCCTCTATAGACAAGAACCTTGTGTGTTTGATAACAGGTAATTGCTCTCATGATAACAAGAAGTCACTACAGAGTACAGCTTTGAGCATGGCCAGTATAATTGTAAGCCACAATAAACCTTGGGCACCTACTTTGGTATATTAGAACTTAGAATTCATAGATAAAAACTTCAAATGATGCAATATTTTAGCTTTTATATGCTCTGATACATACCCAATTTTTCTATGACTATTTTATTTGTATTCTTGGCCACATATTGAAGTCAATGCATTGAAGTTTTGGGTAAATATTAAAGCTGCCAGTATCAGGACTATAGCATTATATTGTCCATGTTTATCAGAAAATGAAGAAAACAAAAAACTGTAGGAAACAAATGATTTAAGTTGATCTATTTGATCTAATATCCAATCATCTATATAATTGTTTTAAATTATGAGTATTTTTATTTCTATGTATTCTTTGTGCAAAGTAACACATACCAGACAGGCAAAGTCGATGAGCCTGGGAAGCAGGAGCACATTTGAATACCATCTTCTGAACAAGGGCATTTTGCAGTGCAGGTGTTTGGGTAATTGTGAAACACAGAGGGGAAATTAAAGCCCCACACTGATGCTCAGATTCACACTTCCCCACTGTGTGGTGATGTGCACAGCCTGGTGCTCACACTGAGCTCTGATGTGAAACTCGTGGGAATAGTGCTGAGGCAATCGACCTTCACAGTGTTTCTCCATCATGTCTACGACCTGACGACAGCCTTCCCACTCACTCTATTCTCCATAGTCTCTCTAGCTTATAATGGACACCTTCCTTCACTTTTCCTTTTCTTTTTTGAAACATAGGTCAAAAGGTATATGCTCTATTTCCAATAGTGTATTTTATTACTATAGACATATAAAATAAGTACTATTAAAATCAGGAATTTCCTTTTTATCTTTATGTTAATTAAATATTCTTGCAACTTGTTTTCACATTATTTCATTACAAAAAAATCAGGAAAATTGACTTGATTCTACAGACTGTGTGCAAAGTTCTCCTCCACAACACACTCGAGAAGTTGCCACTTTTCCCTGCTTCTATTCCATAATGCATGCTCAACTAATTTCTGTATGTCTAAAATATGGTATTTCTACTCAGTTTTTTCTCCTGGGTATAGTATGTCTGGGGCCATATTTGTTCTGGAATTGTTTTGGGGTGTGTCTATGTCTTTCGAGTTTCAATTCTGTCACACATACACACACTCTGATCAGAGGGGCAAGTCAGAGGACGTTACTGATCCACAGAGGCAAGTCAGAGAATGTACCTGATCACCAGGGCAGGTGAGATGAGGTAACTGATCACCAGATGCAGGTAAGATGATGTACCTGGTCACCAGGGGAAAGTAAGCTGATGTACCTGATCAATAGAGGGGCAAGTCAGAGGTTGTACCTGATCATCAATTTCTCTGCAAGACATATGGCAGTAATCTTGAGTATCATTGAGTCAATTATGCTGAAGACACTACACGAGTCTATAAAATCCCTAGCTTTGGTCCTCCTCCTCCTGCCTTCCATGCGTGTTTACTTTTCTCATCTCTCACTTTGGAGCTACTTAGACATTTAATGGTTCCTAAAACTATGTGCAAACACAGGAAATCTATTCCTAAGAACTTAGAGGTTCTTTGTCACACATTCCCCCCACCTTGAAATCCCACAGTAATATTACAGTATATATTTCCACTTAAGAATATAGTGAAGGGTAGAATAAAGAGTAGATGAAAGTTAAATTGTTCATCCGCTATTCAACATTTCATGTCTAGTTTCTCTTGATCTAAATGCTGGTATTTTTAATAAGTTGAAATTGTTACCTCTATCTCATATTCTTCAAAGAACAGCATAAAATTAGTTCCCAGAAATATTTCAAAGTGAGTATATATATATATATTGGCTATTTTGCTTTGGTTCTGATATTCTGATAATTTTTTTGTCTCCTTTTGGTTTTGGCTTTCTGAGAGAGTGTTTCCTTAGTCTCAGACTAGCCATGTAGCTGAAGTTGGCCTCTAGCTCTGAACATTATTGATCTCACCTCCCCAGGTGCTGTAATTACAGGCATGGACCAAGTTACACAACTTCTTTTGATATTGTGCAAACAACCCATAATCTAAACCATTCTACTTTATGTATCAATGTAAGTTACTAGAAGAAAATATTTTTAGTGACAAACTTGGACAATGTAGCACATGTAACAAAATTTATAATAAATGTTCACATGTGTTAAGAAAATATTACATATAATAAATGAGCAAAGATAATTTGAGTCTCCGGTTTAGGAAGTTCTAGAATGCTTTCTCATTTTACTTCTCCAGCAGATACACTTGGTAGTTCAGGTACTAGCCATTTTCCCAACAGGATGCTGTACTTGTTTCTGTGGTAGGTCCCTTCTATATTTCAGTGACTGTGGCATCTTTGTCCAGCTGATAGCAAGCCATGAAGTAAATCTTTGTCTCAGTCAATCGGTTTACTTTTCTGGTGATTGGAATGAGAATGGGTCAGATGAAGTTCTGACAGATGAGAGATGAGATTCTGTGTGGGGACTCAAAGATTCACATGGAGGGGGTGTTTCTTGTGTGTGTGTGCTTTAATGGATACATACAAAGAATGAGTTTGAAACTTGCTTTTCAGTTGCTTGGAAATTATCAGAGGTCACAGCTAGAAGGGGCCAGACCTGCAAATAAATATCAACTGCTTGCTTGTTGTAGAATGATTAGAAAGGTGATAGTCTTTTCATCTTAAAAGGAAAAATCCCTGAAAACTCACTACAGGATGTGCTGCTCTGTGAAGGCTCATACAAGCATCCTAGACTGTTTTCTAAGCAGGCATTCATTTGAGTTAGAGCAGTTCAGTTCAAAACTATCAAAATAATGTTAATATCAAAATAAAGTGAGAGACATGTGTGTCATGATTTCTCAACAATGTCAACTGCATTTCTGGTCCCTGCGACAAGATGCATGACAGAAACGATGCAGACAAGGTTTATTTCAGTTCATGGTTGCAGAGGTCCAGAATGCAGAGTGAGGAGGCATAGTGAAGTAGCTGCTCAAACCATGCCAGACAGGGAGCAAATGGGAACAAGGACAGAACAAGACCAGGGCAAGACAGTGACCATAGTGACCTCCTTTCTCCACCCAGGCTCCACCTTCCACAGTTAACACCACAACCCAACAGACTGCTCAAATATGACTCCATCAGTGTGTTAAGCCATTCATTAGATGGGACCTTTCATAATCTGATCATCTCTTGAGACAGAGAATTGTACTTCACTAATGATTCTGTTGTTTTCAATAAATGATAATACATGTAAAATATATCAATACATACAAAGTTATATTTACTCTACATTGCTACAGTAGTATAAATAGCATTGTGTTCAAAAATGTAAATAACTTAATTAAAAATACATCATTGCTATTTGTACTAAAAACAATTCATACCTTAGAGGAAATCAGATTTCCTTTGGTAGAGGGTCTTGCCTTATTGTTTGTATTAGGCAGTATACTGTCACTGTGCAAAAGAGCTGAGAAAATAAGCTGAAAGGGGAGAAATATTTGTCTCATTGTTTCAGAGGCTCCAGCTTAGAATCACTTGCTCTGATTTTTGCTGGGCTCTAGAGAGGCAGAAAATTAAGCACCAGGAACCTGTGGCAAAGGCAGATGTTCATTTCAAGGGAGCATGAAGTAGAAAGTGAGGAGAGGATAGGTGATGAGATACACCCTCCTTGGCATGCCTTAAAGAATCACTTCCTCCACGTAGAGGGCTCATTGAAAGTGTTTACAACTTTCCAAATGCACAACTAGCTAAGGACAAATTTTTCCACCCAGGAGCCTCCGGATAATGCATTCCAGATCCAAAGAAACATTTCTGCTGGCTGATCAAGGCAGTAGTTTCTTCAAGTGCAGTGTGGAGCTGTGGAAATTCCTTTAACAACACAATAATGAATTTTGCTGTATCAAATATTCACAGAAGATCTTTCAGTAAGAAGGTATGCTGTGTGATAGACTTTTCCCCACAGTAAAAGCCCATGAAGGACTCAACTCTCTCGAAACATACTGTGGGCTTATCAATTAAGTTTGCACTATATCCTAAGCCCTTTGCCATTTTAATAGGATTTATAGCACCGTCACCAGAAAACAGTTCCAATTACATTAAACCTTTTTAATTTAAAATTTGTAAGAACATGTGTATGTTTGTACATAACTGTTTGTGAGGCCAGAAGGGAGCATCAGATTCCCTGGTGCTGGGGTTACAGGTGGTTGTGAGCCACTTGATGTCAGTGTTGGGATTTGAACTTTGTTCTCTAGAAGACCATGAAGTGCTCTTAACCACTGAGCCACCTCACTAGACAAAAGAAACCACTTTAAAATCTGTGCATAAGAAACAGCACTTAATTCTTTAAAGTTGTATCTTATGACATTACATTCACTTTTCTAGTTCCCTTGCTCTATCAAAGTCTTGAACCTTTCAAAGTTGAGAGTTGGAGTGACCATACCCTTCATAATGCTGATATTTTGACCTCCTCCCATGTATCACCAAAGCCCTTAAAGGCATTTATACGGAAGAATCTTTTCCAGAAGATTTTCAGGGTTTTTTTGTTTTTGTTTTTGTTTTTTTTCCCAGATCTTTCCAAAGACTCAATATGTAGTAAAATTATTTTACAAAATAATTTTTTCTAAAACAAAAACTTGAATGTGAGAATTACTCTTCAAGCCCATGCACTTCAATTTTGTTCAGGTATAGAAGCAAGATGGTGCTAAATATCTCCATCACATTCTAGGGGTTACTGGATACATAGCCAGTAAGAAGATATATTTGGAAGGGACTCCTTTTTCTCTCCAGTGTCTCAACAGCAGACTTAAAATAATCCACAACACACAATGAAATAGGTGTGCTATCATCCAAGCTTTGTTGTAGCCACAAGTTTCTCTGTTATGCAGTCAGGCAAATCTCTCCCACCCGTGTCCCTCAGCCACTTGGTCCCAAGAAAACACACAATGGCTTATATTATTTACAAACTGTATGGCCTATTGCAGGTTTCTTGCTAGCTAGCTCTTTTATCTTAAATTAATCTGTTTCTATTCGTCTATGTTTTGCCACATGGCCGTGACATTACTGGTCTGCTGGCATCTTGCTTCTCCTTCAGCGGCAGCTGTTGTCTCTCCTACCTTTGCCTTTCTTCTTCCTGTCTCTCCCCTTGGATTTCCTGTCTGGCTATAACCTGACTCGCCATAGGCCAGAGGAACTTCTTTATTAACCAATCATAACAACACATATTCACAGCATACAGAAAGACCATCCCACAGCACTTTGCTGTTGTACTGATAACACAAAGGCAGAGCAGAGTTAGTATAATTCTTAAGGGCCCAAGGATTCTCAGAATGATAACTGAGCAGTGCCCTCAACTGAAAAGTCATCATCTGTATTAGCTACTAGTAACAAAGCCAGCTGTTATGGTTAATGCTTTGTCAACTTGACACAACCTAGAGTCAACTGAGAAGAGAGGACCTCAAATGAGAAAATGCTTCCATCAGATTATTCTGTATGCAAGCCTTTGGGGGCATATTATGATTGATGATTCTTGTGCAAAGGCCCAGACCACTGTGGGTGGTGTCATCTCTGTGCAGGTGATCCTGGGGTATAAAAACAAGCAGGCTAAGCAAGACATAAGTAGCAAGCCAGTAAGCAGTGCACCTCCATGGTATTTGCTTCACTTTCTGTCTCCAAGACCCTGCCTTGAATCACTGCCCTGAGTTCCTTTTAAAATCATCTGTGACTGGAATGTGTAATCCAAATAAACCCTTATTTCCCCTAATAGCTTTTGGTTATGGTATTTATCATAGAAACAGAAATCAAACTATATGTGTCTATTGCTGTGAAGAGACACCACGAACACGGAAACTCTTATAAAGGAAAATCCCTTTAATTGGGATTGCTAACAGTTTCAGAGATTTAGTCCATTATCATCGTGGAGGGACATAGAGGCATCAGGTAGACATGGTGCTGGAGAAGGAGCCAAGAGTGAAAAAGAAGCTACATCTTGATCCATGGGTAACAGGAAGCGATCTGAGTCATTGGGCATATCTTGAGCGAAGGAGACCTCGAAACCTGTCCCCCACAGTGACACACTTCCTCCAACTAGACCACACCTACCTCAAAGGCACACCTCCTAACAGCACCACTCCCTATGAGCTTATGGGGGCCAATTACATTCAAGCTACCACAATCATCAACCTATTCTTTGAAGTTTTGAAGGCAGGCAGGGACTTTTATCTATCTGGGTAGTTAGCATCTTTCAATCTAAAATCAGGTTAGTGCAGCACAGCCATCAGTCCTCAGAGCTAGCACTTCAGGATCATTTCTGGTAGCTAACCCACCAGCATGTGCAGGTTCAACTTGTTGGTTTGGAAGAAGATATTAATTCTGTCAGCTTCAATTTTTTTTTTATTGGGATTAATCCTAATGATCAAAGAAATTTATTTGGGGGTTAACTCACAAGACAGAATAAAGGAATTTCTCACAGAATCATGGAAGGATGAGGCATGGTCCAACATCATTCTCTGGCGAGGACTTCTCTGTTCCACATCAGCATCCAAAACCATGAGGTAGTAAAGCAGAGAGACAGCCCCATATGTGCATCCCAGGTCTTAAGGGTACATCCCAGGGGCATGTACCTCAAGGTCATAGGCAGATGTAACATCTACCTGCTACCTTACTAGGGGCAGTGCTTTGGGGTATGGCTCAAACAACCACCCACTACACTTTTTAAATATCATAACTGCATTAATTTTAAACTTTTTTATTGTATACAATGTATTTTGATCTTATCTACCTCCCAACTCCTCTTCTTAACTCCTCCAAGATTGACCCCCTCCCAACTTCATTTCTTTCCTCTCTTATTTTAATAGTCCACTGATTCTACTTTAAGGTGCTCATATACTCAAAGGTGGGTCAAGCTTTTATACTTCATTTGCCTTACAGTGTTTGTTCTTGTGGACCCAAAGCCATTAAGACTTAGCTCCAAATCAGCTGGCTAAAAGGAATGTAGTGCGTGCATTAATCGTCCACTCAGCCCACCAAAACTTTCTCCATTTTGGGAAAGAGGTTCTCTGTCTTCCATATAGTGCTCGTGTCCACTGCAGTAACATTATTACCTTTCTCCAAGAACTTTTTGAATGCAATGATAGTTTGCCTATTTGCAGCAAGAAGCCAGGTTTGGCTTTTTACATATCTTCTCACAGCTTGACTTTTTCTAGCACTTACAGACAGGGATGTGAAGCTTCCTTCCATTCAAATATTAAGATGTGTTGGAGAATTAGTGATTACTCTAATTTCAACATTGTTATGTATCAGGAGAGAGAGACCACTACCCTGCCACCACCCACAGTGGAGCAAGAACACTTACAACTGTTATTTGTTATTTTGCTGTTGTTTATGGAGAGGTTTGTGGCAATCTCACCTACAGAGACAATGATAACCTCAAATATCACTGATAATAGACCACAATAACATATGATGATCATGAAAGAGATTGAAATATCCCTTACATTATCACAATTGGCAGAGTGACAGGAAGTGAGCACTTGCTGTGTAAGAACTGACACTGACAGATTGCTGAAGGCAGAGTTTCCACAAACTTTGATTTGTAAAAAAGTAAATATCTGAAAAACACAATACAATGAAGCCCAATAGGAAATGCTGATGCGTATCAGCAAATGCTACCTGAAGTTGAGTTCACACAGAGTGAGGATTTCATTAGTTCACACGTGATACAAACTATAAGGATTATCTGGATATGGATAGCTTAAGAGGAATTGGGAAAGGGTGCATGCTCTGTTGTCTTCATTTGTGGAAGATTGGCAGGCTACTCCGGGGAGTTCTGCAATACTCATCAGCAAATGGTTAAGGCTTATATAATAACCAATTACCGAGAGAAATCCCAGGCCATTAATTACATGCTGGGGAGGATGTCCTCTTACTGATTGATTCTGTTCTCAACTGAAAACTGTTCTCACCTTTTTTCTTTTGGGATTCTATCTTGAATTACTGTTACTCCACCTGCAACTTTGTTGTCTCTTACACAAATATTCTATGATACCTTCATCATTTTTAATCATACTGTGATTATAGGAACATGTGGGATCATTTCCCAGGCCAGACAATAATGTGTTGTTTCCTCCTTGCTTAGTGTGTAACCATGGTTGTTCCATAGGATACTTATTAATATCCACTCAGAAGAACTTGGAAATTCATTCATTATGCATGGAATAAACCATTAACTAACAATTGTTCAATATAGAATTACTGGGTGAGAAAATTAAAGTTCATGCAGTAATAAGTCAAGCTCCCTCTTAATTTATATTTACTGGCAGAATATGGGGGGTTGGAGAAGTATAGCAGCCATAATAATGATTCTCCTTTGTAATAAGCCCCGCAGCTGACAGGTATGCAGAGACTGGAGGAACAGCATTTTTCATTACATGTCCATAGACTCTGCGAAACTGTCAGATGTTAACGAGCTTACCTTCTGCTCTTTGGAAAAAGGTTAATGGATACAGCACATTTTCCAATGTGACTCTGAAAAACAAAGAATTGCAAAAGGCATGTGCTAGTATTTGTTTTCATTCTTTTCAACAAATTCTAGGTAAAATCCAGAAGTTTAAAGCCACATCAAAGTTCCCAGATACTAAAAAAGTAGTGACTATATACATGTGTTGGTGCCAGGGCAGGGTCGGCGTAATGTTTTGAGCTGTAATAGAAGAGAGGAAGGTAAGTTGCTGGTAATTAAAATATGACAACAAGAGGAAGCTTTATACACTTAGGTATCAGCCATATGACTTTAACTCTTTGCAGGACACACTATTCTATCGTTTCTCTGATTTATTCTGAAATATACTTTCAAAAACATTTATTTATTTTTACTGATGCATGTGAGTGTTTTGCCTGCATCTATGTATGTGCACCAATTACACACCAGGTGCTGGTGAG